GAAGTAGCTTGTGCTTCATTAGAAAACGAAATACAACAATTAAAACAGTATGAACAACAACTAATCGCAAAATCAGAGTCAGCAGATAATGATAATTCGGTAGTAAATAATGAAGAACAAGCTGAAGAATAAGGATCGATCAATTAGGAATCATTGATCATTTGATTTGTTGATAGTGACCGATCATAAAAAAAAGTCTTTTTGAGTATAATCGTGCATCACACATATTACAGTATTATATTTGCACATTTTTCACAATTCGAATCTCTTTATAACCTCAATTGTATTAGTATTTATTTCGCGATTCATAGATTTAAATGCAAATAACATTTATGCACAGGTTAATTAACGCGAATAAAATGAATATTCATTAAGAATTTCAAAAATTTTAAAATACAAAATCAAATAATTTACAATAATAATATTTGCCTACTATTTTTTACGCTAATTCCGTAGTATTATATTAATGTCTTATATTAATGTCACTTAAGCACCTGCACCTGTCTAAAATTAGCACTTGCAGTGTTACAAATTTTTCATCAATAAATCCAGAAATCGGAACAGATATATTATTTCGTGATGATTTTGATTTTTTTTAATACGCGTAGATTTTAACGCGGTTGCAGATCTCAAAACAATAGATTTTAATATAAACTACCAACCTTTTTTCACTTTTTACTTTTGTTTTTACTTTTTCCTTTTACTTTTTTACTTTTACTTTTTATTTTTACTTTTTTATTTTCACTTTCGCTTTTTACTTTACTCATACTTTTTTTCTGCTTCGCTTTTACTTTCACCCATACTTTTTCTCTGCTTCGTTTTTTATTTTTACTCTTACTTTTGTTTTGCTTTAACATATTTATTGTTTTTCAAATAAACATTACATACCTAGATACAAATTTATTTTTACGTTGTAGATATTGTTTAAGCCTATGGTGAGTATGGAGTATTTGATCTCAAGTTATTATAACATAACTCTGGGTATCGCTCCTAGGCTTCTAGGTTACTTATGGCGGTAGTATACCCCAGTTAGACGAAACACACGGACCGCCGTTATAAAAGTTTGTCCACTGGGAATACTCTAGTTAGGGTGTCAGGTATTTTTTTTAAAATATCGAGACGCCCTTCCGTTACTTAGCCAGGTCGACATGTCATACCCGGAGGTCCTGAATAAGGCACTGGTCATTTCAAATACTCACTCTCAATTTTTTTTTTTTTTTTTTTTTTAGAAATCGATTTATTTAATAGTTAAATAACGACAAGATTTTTTATATGAAGATTAATTTATATTTAGTTTTGTAAATAAAACATTAGTTAAAATATTATTATTTTTATTTTATAATGTTTCGCAAACTGTAATTATTATTTAAATAAACTTGTAACTTATGTATATATTTTAATAATAAAGTAACAATAATTTAAAAAAATTAAAACATATAAACAAAAAAATTTTTTTTTCAATTGAAAATGTTAGTTATTTTATATTAAGTTTACGCTAATGTTACAAATCGAAAGTTAATAAAATCGATTAGTTGGTTAGTTGACAACTAATCGGTTGAACTTTTTAGACGTCAACTAATCGATTAAGATGTAGCAATATCAAAAAAAAGGTTTTGGAAATATCAATTCCTTAATTTTTCTTTTTTTTTTTTATTAATTATTCGATTATTACATTATTTTCATTTAATTAGATAGTCGATATTTATAATTGAATAAAAAACACCTTTAATTTTAACCATCTAATGATTACGATATAAGCTAAACCTGGCAATAGGTCACTGAACTCTCCTGGAATCGTAACAAGTACTTGAAATGCAACTTCAACAAGCGTAGATACATTTCAGGTATAATATTTATATCGATCACATGATCGATAAGAAAAATTCAAAAGACAACATTAATTGGTACATAAAAATTTCAAGATCGTTAGATATTGTCTGTTGACATAGTCTTTAGAATGTTAAGTTTTACAATATATAAATAGTAAAGATCATTAAAAATTCAAGGGTGAATATATAGATGATAGATGTTTGGAAAAGGACGAATTTGACAAAAAATCATTTTGTAGATTAATTTTTTCAATGATAATTTTCTGCAAATATTATTTTTTATCAAATTAATCCCTTTTCCCAATACCCATGTGAGGAATAGAATAGAAAAACACCTAGTTGAAAACAAGTGCCAAACGGTGATATTCCTAGTCCATTCCTCATATTTATGAAAGTTAACAACTTATTTGGAGGTGCACCAAGAAGGTCATTCATTATTCACACATAATTGATAACGTATCACTGTATAAAAATTAAAAACCTTTTAGAATTATGCTTTTGCACATTACCAGTAAATGGTTATTATAAAATAACATTTATTTTAAAATACAATAAATCTATATATAATATTACGTTAAGGTGTATGTAGATTGTGCAATTTTGTAAATTGGTAAAAAAATTTCCCTAATAAATACCACTCAAAAATCCTAACAATCGCTAGTAGCTTTAGTATTAAGGATCAAACCAACAATTAGCCCATAAAGACCCAATACTTCGGCAAAAATTAACATCAGAACCATTGTAACAAAAAGTCTAGTTTGCTGTACATAAGCTCTAACGAACTTTTGTAGCATTAATATGAAAAAAAAATTTTCAATATAATTGAGATAAATATTGGAAAGAAAGACGACAAAAAAGATGACTCACTGCATCACCAACAATTCCTATTGAATAGCCTGCTCCTAAACCTGCAAGGCCTACTGTAAGACCTGAACCAAGGTGAATAAAGCCACTAAAAAAAAATAAAATAAATGAATTTGGAATTAAAAAACATTTATTTACTTATTCACTTGGACAAGAAATATAGCCTACGTAAATAATGAATATGGTTTATTTGGGTCCACTAATGAAAAAAACATATACATTAGAAATTTTAGACTGAGAAACAAAATTTTACTAATAAAAAGACGCAACATACTTGATCCACATATTAAAACAGATATAACAAGTCCATAAACAGCAATAATACCAGCCATAACCACAGGTAGAAGTGACTAAATAAGAAAAATCAGTAAGAATATTAATTGTAAATAGTAGATGAATAAATAAAAATTACCTTCATAATAAGTTCAGGTCTAAAAGTTCCAGCACCAGCGATTCCAATTCCAGCTTTTGCAGTTCCGTAAGCAGCACCAATGGCTATTATTGGGATCATTTTTAAGTAAAAAGAATTTTATAAATCCACACAAAATTTGTTATAACAATAAATTGAGGCAAATAACAAAAAAATATTTTAATTAAAATAAATTTACAGCTAAAGATCATCTTTAAAATTGAAAAGAAAACGTTAGCTAACGTTTAATTTCTTTAAGAAAAAGAACCATAAGGAAGTTATGCATCTACCGCTGCTGCAACTCCAGCGTGCCCGAAAAATGACGCATAAACCGGGCATTGATCGCTTATTTTCAAGTCCATTGAAATAGTAGTTTTTAAGAAGAGTTTCTCTTATAAACAAGCGTTTTTGGTATTTATATTAATTTTATTAAACCAATGAAAGTTCAAGATCTTATCTCGTAATACTGTACACATTTAGATGAGTTTTAATTTAATATTTTTTCCCTGTATATTATGTGCTTTATTACTGATAATGTCACATGAACCTACAAGTTCCGAGCACAATCCCCAAAAATCATTATGTAGAATTAGAATTTGAATTGAAGAACAAGACAATCAAACTGGTCATAATCACGTGAAGGCAAATTCAAATCAATCTTATTACTGTATTACGTATACGTACAGTTAATCGTATAATTTTATTACTTCGTCTCTACGCTGGTCGATAGTTAAGATCCCGATTTCCAACACTACCATGGAGTTAGAACAAAAGTTGAAAACAGCAGTACCTTTATTGTCTGAAGGGTTTTTAGCACATTGGGTGCCGATATTAAATCAAATCGAAGAACAAATAAATGAATTGAAGTAAGCCGAGTTCTCTTACACGGCCAAGTTGTAATGGTGAATAAATATTTTCTTTTCCAGGAATAAGCAAAACCTTCTCCTGGAAGATTTGAAAACTACAAATACATTAATGGAAAACCAAGAAAATTATGAGTACATAACATTAAGTGTTAGTACCTTTTATTTTTTATAAAGATTCTATTCAAAAAAAATTTTTTTTATTCATAACTTATTTTGCATAAAGTTTTCCAAAATTCCTCAATATCTTACAAAATTACAAAATATACGCAACACCATGGTAACAATGCTAGCTCGATCGAAAAATATGAAACAACGGGTTGCCAATCTTAAATTAGTTAAAGAACAACAGTTTGCACAAATTGCTAAAATACATCAACGTGAAAAAACGCATGATCAAACTGTTTTGGCTGCAAAGGTTGTCGAGAATAATCCTATTGAGCAACAGGACGATGTGACAAAAACAACTAAGAAAAAGAAAAAAGAAAGAGCAAAAGAGAAGGGAAAAACTAAAGATAGAATTGTTACAAGACGCGAAATAGAATTCGACTCACCTTCAACTGTAACGGAGCAGAGTTTAGAACCGGATCATAGTAACTCGGGTCAAAATGGTTGAAGATGTAACTTCTAAAAATCTAAAATTTAGCACATTATTATTGTATTGTGAAAATAAACACCTTTTTTTTTCTTACTAATTTATCTAAATGTTCAATCCCGCTAATCTGGATTTAAAAAAAAAAGTTCCAAACTTTCTGAGGCTACCATACAACTATCTATTGCGAAAATTCATTATTATTTTTTTTTGCTTTGCTGATATGTAATATACTGTGTGTGTTGGACACGTTCGATAGTCCGGTAATTCGTAGTGCATGAATTGCGTGATTGTAGATAGCATGAAATTAATTAAAAGTCTAATATATACGTATGTTGTTACGAAAAATGTCGTAATAAATTAAAATATACTTTCTTCTTCCGTAATTACGAAATGATTTTCTTAGTAGTTAAAAGTTAGGACTACATTTTGCGTAATGATTTCTAGCTTTTTTAAGCCTAATAGGAAAACTATATAAAGGGTCAATAGGGATAGATCTCTTTTGAGAGCCTTTTAATTCTCGCCGTCACGATTATTCGCCCAATTTCAGATTATACGGGTGACAATTTTGCATCGGAACTCTACAACTTGAGCCATATGAGTGTGATGAATCATTGTATGTGACAGATAAGAATTTACTAATTAATTATATTAGCTAATCTCTATTCGTCACGAAATGATTTATCACGCCCAAAATTGATTTATTATGACTGCGCCACTAATAAATTAATTGAGTTCAAATAATTGTAATTAATTTCTCTCACAACCAATTATTCGGTAGGCTGAACAGAAGCATCTTCAACTGTGACAGAGGCATTTTCAATTATAAGAGAAGCATCTTCAACTTAATAATTGTAGTCAATTAAAATTTATAGACTTAGCCGAGTCAATAATTTAATCTTGAGTTAATAGTCAACCAGACCAGTTTAGCCGTATCAGATCTATCAAATTTTGAGCTATAAACTATAGCGCGGAAACACCCGTTGTCCATAGTCGTAATTTGACTTATTATCCACATGCTGGGTCATGTGCACGAATTTTATTGGTTAATATTTTATATGTAAAATTATTATTTAAAAAAAATTAGAGGTTATGCTACGTATTGCATAATCATATATTGTCTACGTAACATAAATAAAAAGATAAAATGTCGTTATATAATGTTTCCGAAGTAATAAAAAGCGATAAACGTTATTCCATAACTTTTCGAAGTAAATAAAAAGAAAGAATCATTGTTACATGCTGATCTAGAAATGTGCTCACCATCGATTACAACATAACAACAGTGATAGAACTCCACTTTGAAATAAAATACAATAATAACTGGTAGCTGAGGCTGAAAAAAATTTTTTTTTTCTAGAATTAGGTTAGGATTTGGAGTTGTATATGTGGATTTTAATAGGTATTATAAATTTAAACGAGGACCCAAATTTTAGCATCAACCAATTTCGATATAAGCTGCCATAACAATCTAGTATTATCATCACGATTCCAAATCATAGTCCTCTTAGTAATAGTTGACTAATCTGAATTTTCAAAGTATAGACTAATTCATCAGCTAAGTCAACTAATACAATATAGATTTGAAATATTATCTTCAACTGTAACGGAGGATAAAGATAAAAAAATTGCTGGATAGATTGAACAAAAATTTACAAGTGGAATTAGAATGACATTTCTAATACTTTTAGATACTTATTGCCGTTAATTAATAACTTTAAATATAATTTATTCTAAATTTAGTAAAATAGCGAATACTATATATATAGTAATATTTATTAAGAGGAATGATTAAATATTAGGATCTAAGACTTAAGTTCATAAATTATAAATTTGAAATTTGAAATTATTCTATTTGCTTGAACAGTGCACAATTCTAGCTCTCAATCTTGATTTTTTGTTTCTTTGTCATAATAATATGTCATTTGCAAATCCTTAGTTTCCAATCCACATTTCCTATAGAATGGAACATTCTTTTCGTTACAGTCCAAGATAATTTTGTAACATTCAACTTTTTTGCCAATATCCTTAAGTTGCTCGATGATCCTTATGTAATTAAAAAGTTTGAGTAAAAAACATGCAATGTATAAGATAAATAAATAATAAAATATCGCACACCTTTTTCCAAAATTTTTTCCTCTTTGAGAGTCATGAACAACAATATCCTCAATATGGCCAGCTTTTCCACAACCTCTTATAAATTTCATCTCAACAAATAAGGTCCCAACTGCCACAACTTTGTTTTCATCACTTTCAATAACAATTATGTAATATCCTCCCACTTCTTTCATCTTTTCGAATCGCTCTTTACAAATCAAAAAAATTTCTTTAATTTTCGTAATCTTTGATACAAAATGATTTGATCTTAAGAAACATACCAATAAAGTTTTCCTCCGATACATCACCAATGACTGTAAGTTGTTCTAAACATTGAAGAATCCCTATAAACATAAAATATTTTATTAAAGGACTTAAATCTATGGATCATTATAACAACTGGCCCGATTCATAAATTTAGCTCATGGTCATAATTATTATCATATTTGGAACCAAATTTATCCTTCAATATTATTATTTATGAATCTAAGTAGTTCTGACAAGCGATAGAGTTAAATATGAATTAATCGCTCTCCTCTTCAAAAAACAATCCCCACCTTTATTAAAATCATCTTTTGCAAGAGGTCTTAGTTTATAACCTTGCGGTAATTCTCTTTGAATATCATCCGAAATCAATGATTCTTTAAAAATGTAATCCGACATATTGAAAAGAAACCACAAGGATAAGTTTAGTAGTTGAAGTCCTTTTTTATATCAAAGAAATTTACCATAGTTGGTTAATGCAAATTTTATTGGTTATTGCATAACGATAAAGAACCATATCTCAATTAGTCCTACTAATAGCAACCCAAATTAGGAAAATACTATAATACGGACTGTAATTGGAGAGCAATAAATACAAATGTGCGAAAACAGATTTTCGTACGTACGAACATACATAGAATTGATCGTTATTTATGGACAGTTTGTAGTGCAGACTATGTATGCGATGATCAAGAATGTCCTTAATGTTTTGAAAAATACTCGCGTCCTTTTCTATAAATGTAGTTATAATATTATTATAATTTACAAAGTTTTTAACTTGTCGCTATATATAAATAAATACTAGATTTTATGTCAATACCTCCAAATCATAATTCTCCTAAAATGATGCATAATCATTATTTTTTTAACTTCCATCATCATCATCCGAACTAATAATAGAATTTGTTCATTCTTAGGTCGCTAAGGATAACGATTTCATTGTCTGATTCTTCTGTTCTTTAACACCACTATGTTGTGATATTGATGTGAAACTCATTGCTACTGATCATTGTAAATTGATTAGTGGGATGGGGAAATGCATCATGTCCGCGTATTCTCTGCCAAGCGGCTGCATGATAGTGAAGATGAAGCACCGCCAATGGGAATCCTTTCTTTCATTGTCACATGGGTGACGGTTCTAATATGTAATTTTTTTTAAAAAAAAATTTAATTATGTAATTAGCGGTTAACAGTCAGTCGCACCTCGGTAATCTAAGTATATTACTGATTAATCACGAACCATGCGTCATCCAAAAAATCAGTTACGATTTAAACTAGATTTAATTTACAATAAATTTTTTAAATTACAGTAAGCGATAAAACTATACATTTTTTTTTTTTTTACTTCTTTATATTGCAAACCGAGAAACTTTGTAAAAAAAAAACTCGTTCTGAATGCTTAACATGTATTAAAGAAGGTAAAAAGCGAATATATGAAAAAAAGTTTTACTTTGTCTAATTTTAAAAAAAAAGCATTATTGATGTCTGTACATTTCTTAAAAGTCGGTTTGCTCTTCGCAAACATCTAGTTCCACCACCACTAGGAACAACTCTTTTTTCAATATATTAATAAGGTTCAATTCAATAATAAACATCCATTTCTTCATGAATCTCAACAAACTATATACCCGCCGCATTATCTGATCGATATGGATTTAAATATAGACAAATATGATTCAAGTGTCAGTGATGTTGAGGTTACAAATGATAAAGCTATTGAATTAAAAGAAATACCTGTGAAGGTACTATTTATTTATGTTATTATTATACAAACTATTTATACAGTCGACTTTGGATATAATGAATATCTGCACGAACTCTGGATATAACTAACTCAGAATTTTAAAATTTCATAATAGTTCGACATAAAAGTGCCATGGGTCCTTAAGAAAACAGTAATTTTCTATAATGAACTTTTTTTTTCTTCTAGAACTGTCAGTTCGTCATAGAAAAAGTTGACTATATTTTTTACATATTAATAAAAATAATTTGCGATTGGCCTATTAAAGACAATCATATACATGGTGTCTAAATTATTTTTGAAAAAAAAGGTAAATTTACAAGAAATTTCATCATTACCATAAACTTTCACAAATAATTACATTACTGTATTTTATTTAAGAATTCAAATAGTCTTTGGCTGACTAATTGTCGAAATAATTATTTATTAAGAAAATTAACTTAGACATTTATATATAAAAGATGATAATTCGAATATTTTTTTATTGGCGATAGTTTTAACACTTTGTCAAAAATTTTTATTTTTATATATAAACAATATATGTATGTGTAGCGAGAATAAATTAAAATGCAATATATATATAAATTCCGATTTTTTGGGTGGTGATTGGTCAAATACGTATCAAATTTGGAAAGTTTGTGCCAAAAGGATTTTAAATTTATAGATCATCACAGAACATCACGCAAGCTGTTGAGTAAACAGATGCACTCAATTGTTAATGGTTTATTGCTATATTGTAAGATTATCGAGATGTCCTGTGCTTTAATGGTCACATGGTATCAATTAGTATCGATATAAAATTTGTACGATATTTTCATTTGGGTCCACGTATTATAAGAGAGCAAAGTTTCTTTTTGTAGTTTTGTAATTCTTTTCATAAACTTATGATCCATGGCTTCATCGCCATACGTAGTCACAGTCGGAATAGGTAAGCGACAGATCTTTTAAATGGTATACCTTTGAGTAAAAACTTATCATAATTTTCTTGTAGATTTTGGTACCTTCTCAAGTACATTTGCTTATTGTAATAATTGCGATGTTAACGCGGAAATAGTAACAAACGATTCATGGCCTGAACAACGAGGTGTTTTTAAAACTGATACTGTGTTACAATATGACGATTCATTGTCTGTAGTTAGTTGGGGTATCATTCCCAAACCTGAAAAAAAGAAAAAGAATAACCCGATTAGAAGCACCAGTGTCATGGGAAATATGCGTACCAATAATACACGGACTCCTGATTCTGCACGTATTTCTAGAGCGAGTAGCATGGGCATGCCTAATGAAAATAAATCAATAATACTCGCAAGTCTGTTTAAACTTCACTTAGCAAATGTGTTAGACGACGAGAAGCCCCCGCTACCTCCAAGACTAGATTACAGAAGATGTGTGACTGATTATTTCTCAGGTATTTTTCCTAAATGTAGGCGTAACGCTAAAATTGTAAATGCTATTCATATATTAATCATATCTTTTTACATTTGATTGAGGTAGAAATGACAAAGGTATATATTATTGCACAATCATTGAGTTTTGATATCATAATTTAATGCGTCTATCATAAATCATTTTATTTTTATTTAGTTGATTAAAAACACCATTTCAACAAGATGGCCAGGTAAATATTTTATGTATTTATACATGTACCCAAAATTGTTTATCCAAAATTAGAATTTGGTAATTTCGACCTAAACTATGCAAACTGGAATTAATTTTTTTTTTATAAACCTTTAATCCTAACCTTAACTATATGATTATGATTTGGATAGCATAACCTAGGTTCGAATTAGAATTTCTAATTTAGGACAGTCTGTTTCTGACAGTTTTTGGTACAACATATTATTTGTCACTATTAGTATATTTATCATTGTTATTTCTCTATTACAGGAGTCAACTTTTACCAAGATGTTAAAATTATTATTACAGGTATTTTTAGAATTTCTTGAAAAAAAATCAAAGCGCTCAATTTATTCATTTTACTTATTCATCATATTATCGAACACAGTCCCATTAAATTTTTCGGAAGGTGCAAAAGATATTATTCGTTTTTGTGTTTCGCAAGCTCAACTTGTGGAATCAGCAACTTCAGCAAGGCTGGAATTTATATTAGAACGTATGAGAATTCACATCTTACCATATGGTACCAGAAATCTGTAATCGACAATCACATGATCTATAAATAAGACATTTTCAAATGCTATTCTACTTAAGTACCAAACAATTAAACTGATAGTTTTGTAATTTGAGATACACATTATAAAGTTATCGGTTTGTTTGGTATAAAAATTTTTGGCTGTTAAAGCCGGTAATTTTTACATGTTTTCTTGAAACAAAAATCAGGGATTAGACTCTTGAAATATTCCGATTTATTGTCGAGGGGTCTGGTCGAAATCCCGACAAGCTTGGCCGCATTTTTGTCGAGATTTTGACCCAGACACATTGTCTAGCATTAATTGCACGAGGATTTAGAACAATTCATATGATTGTCGTTTATAGCCTTCTAGCGTAATTAGCGTAATATATATATATATATATATATTTAATTAACGAATATATTTTAACACAAATTTCGTATTTTTAACATGCCAGCTACTGCTGCTGCAATTTATTGCATAAACAGTCTAAAGCAACCAAGATTAAATCCACATAGTATGTATACTTATTTATTATTTCTTTCATTTAGAATATGTTAATTTGACTTTTAAAATTAATACCACTAGCAAACTTTATGCTCGTGGATATCGGGGGTGGTACGGTATTAACTGCAATATATAAACTTACCAGTGATGGAAAAACATGTGAACTAGTTGAATATTCTAGTAGTTTGTGTGGTGTCACTTATATTGACAAGGAATTCATACGATATCTTTGTGACAATTTTGAATTATTTTATGCATTACAGCAATTACAAATTTATAATTACGATCAAATACAATTTCTTGCTCAGGAATTCTGTAAAAAAGCAAAACTGCCTTTTACTGGGGATCCATCAACTTTCAAGCCTATAAATATAGATTTGGAGGATACTTGCCCGGCGATTGTGAAGTACGTGACTGGAGATGTCAGAGAGCAGATGATAGATGCTGAATGGATGATTGAATTGGCTTATCACGATGTTAAAGCAATGTTTGATCCAGTTGTCGAAAGAATCATATCTCACATAGGAAATCATTTGTCAACAGCAAAAAGTAAATGTGAAGCCATGTTTCTTGTTGGAGGAGGAAGCGAAAACCAATATATACAGGGCCAGTTGAAATTAGCCTTTAATCAAAATTTTTCAATGATTGGATGTCCTAAGCAACCAATCACCGCTACAGTGCGGGGAGCTGTGCAATATCAGTTAGAAAAGAATAGACCTGTACAGTACAGATTAAATATGCAACATAATATATTGGGTGTACCTCGTGGATCTGTACAGTACCCAAATCCAAATCCAAATATATCACCAGTATCGTATAACTTGGTGAAAAGTGTGCAGGGTACGGGTGTACCAAATGATGGTCTAATGCATGGATTGGAAAATAAGATGCAGAATATTAACTTATCACAAGGGAACCCTATTACTGATCCATTTAAACCAGATACAAGAGCGATTAACTTATCACCAGTGAACTCTATTACTGATCCATTTAAACCAGATACAAGAGCGATTAACATACCACAAGGGAACTCTATTATTGATCCATTTAAACCAGATACAAGGGCGATTAATATATCACAAGAAGGGAACCCTATTACTGATCCATTTAAACCAGGTACAAGAGCGCTAAGGTATACATATGGTGTTCAAGTTGTAATGAAATGGAAGAAGGGAGATCCAATTCACCGTAAAAATTCAAGCGGCTATATGAATGTTTTTTATGCGCTGATAAAAGCCAATACTGTAGTTAAGATCAATCAAACGGTTGGATACGTTGCAAGACCATCTGACCCAAATCAAAGGGATATGACGTTTAATATTTACGTCTCTCCAGAAATAAATCCGAGATTTTGTGATGAACCTGGAATGAAACATTACGGAACTCTTAAAGTGGATCTTTCAGATACACAAGCTGTAAAGAAACGACTCGTGGAATTTTCGTTGGTTTTTGGCGAAACGGATGTGAAAGCTATAGCAAAGAATAAAAAAACTGGGATGATCTATCAAGCTACCCTGAGTTCATGATTTTAATTTATATTCATTATTTAAATGTTAATCATTGGAAATATTTCATATGTATTATTATCACATCTACATTAGTTTGTATTCATTCATTCATTAATTTCCAGCTTTCAGAATTAATATATAATTAAGGTTGTTGAGTCTGTGACTCGATTTCTTTTTCAAATTCCCACAACAATTTGAAATCTTCCATATATGCCGCTATGAGATCCCTGTGCACCTATAAGTTTAAATATAATTTTTATTATTATTATTAAATATATTAATCTATTTAATCGAATTTAATTTACCTGCGTTGGAGTGCGTTGAGTGATCTTGATATTTTTTGCTCTGTAAGATTTTCTTCGACGTTTGTAATCACGTTTTTCAGCAAGGAGTTCAGTATGTGACTTTTGCCCTTGGTTTTCTCCTATACATATAAAATCAGACGACAATTATGAATTATCCATTTATTGATTTTTAATAATAAAAATGGTGCACACGTACCTTTTTTTTTCTGAACGGCTTTCCAAACTTCATCAAAATTTTGATATTCGTCACGCTTTTGTTTTTGATTTTCTTCTCGAATTTGATTAGAAATCTCAATCTCCCTTTCGTATGCTTCAAGTCTTTGACTAACGGTTAAACTTTGACCCACTCCAATATTCATAGACTCATCCTTGACATTTTTTTGCGATTCCTTTACATAATCTTTAGAGTTCAACATTTATAATGTCAAGCACGCGTGATTTCATGAAAAAAAAAACAATTAAAAACCAATAAACCTTTAACCAAAGTTATCACACAAGGTGAATTTTCGTAAAAAAAAGTCGAACTTGGTAGACGTTTTCGCTTTTACATGATAAATAGTAATGATTATTAGTACCAACAATAAGATTAATATCCTAAAATTCAGAATGATTTAATACGATTATTTATTACCTTTCCACATTCAGTAATTCCATGATACTTTAATTCACACCTTTTATAATGCTTCTCATAAGATTTTGTAGGAACTTTATGAGCAGCATTAAAAGGACACGTTATTGATGATTTGGATTCCTATTTAAAAGTTTAAGGTTTTATCCGAGAATTTATAAAAATATTTCTAGCTCGAAATAAGAATTGCTTTGACAAAAAAAAACCTGTTCATGAATTCTTAAAGTTTCTATATCCCACGAAAGTTCGCTTAATAGCTTTTCAAAGTTTTTATAATATTCTTTTAATTGATTGTCATATGTTTGAATTAATTCTTGACGTTCTTGAAGATTTATCGAAGACATTCTATAACGATAACTTCAAAATTCTCTTTGCCGTATCATATGATAATCATCGTACATCGACATCATTAATAGATACCGATACGTATATAATAATATAATAAATATCAAACAATTGGTTTCGTCATCCTTTATTTTTTTTCTTAAAAGAAAAATGGATGACAAAGAACATAGTCATGACGTTGATGGAGAGGGTGAAAATAGTTCTACTGATAAATTACGGGTTAAACAGGAAAAAAAAAACATGAAAAAAGCGCGAAAAAAGGCAGCTAAGAATAATGTGAATTCGATTTCAACTGTCGAAGATACTCCCGCTACTGCAGCAGCAAAACAGGCAGAATTACAAGAAAAGGTCAGAATGCTTGTAAACCAACTAGCCATTCGTGAGGCCATACAGCCTCAGCCAAGTGCCAGTAGCTCACAAAGACAAAAAGATATGAGTTCCCATAAGTTTTGGAGTACTCAGCCGGTTCCAAAACATGGTAATTTCCATTCAATGTTCCAAATGCTTTTATATCTCAATTAAAGTATATTCTTACTACAATTTTTTTAGGAGAAATAATTAACGATAATGGTCCGATAGAAGAAAACACACCATATGATCAAATTCGTAAAGATCCGTATCTTTTACCAAAAGAATTTGAATGGTCAATTTTAGATTTGAATAATGAAAATGAGGTATATTGGCATTTAATTCTATTTGGCATATTTTATCATTCGTGTTTTAGCTTCATGCATTCCGGATTTTCATTAGCTAAACGAACTGTACACTCTGTTAACAAATAACTATGTCGAAGATGATGATGCAATGTTCCGTTTCGATTATTCTGGTGATTTCCTGAAATGGTAGGTTCTAAACTTTTGTCTAATACATTATTATTTATATCGTATATTATATACTTATTATTTTTACGTTCAGGGCTTTGCAACCACCAGGATATAAACAAACGTGGCACGTAGGCGTTCGTGTTAGCGCCACAAAACGTCTTGTTGCTTTCATTAGTGGAATCCCTGCTGATATTAGAATTTATGATTCGTAAGTTTGATTCAAGTATAGTTAACTATAATTTTTTTTTACAATAATATACGATTATTTATATATTAGACATCAACACCTTGTTGAAATAAACTTTCTATGTGTTCATAAAAAACTTCGGAGTAAACGATTGGCACCTGTGCTGATTAAAGAAATCACGCGACGCTCTCATCTTGAAGGAATATTTCAAGCAGTTTACACCGCAGGTGTTGTTCTACCAAAACCTATCGCTAAAGCTAGGTATGCATATATATAGTTTTATCTAATTTTTTACGGACAGCCTGATACTAATATTAATAATATCATTATATAAAGATATTTTCATCGCTCTCTTAATCCCAAAAAATTGATTGAAACGAATTTTTCACGCTTACCTCAAAACACTACGATGTCGCGTTTAATTAAAAAATTCAAATTACCGTCTGAAACAATGACACCTGGGATCAGACCTATGCAAGAGAAAGATGTCACATCGGTTAGAATTTTATTGAATGAATATATGAGTAAATTCAATTTTGTCGCAGTATTTGAGACTGATGAAGACGTTAAACATTGGATTCTAACAAAAGAAAGTGTCGTTTGGTCTTATGTTGTTGAGGTACAAAAAAAAAAGTCGTTTTTTTGGTGTTTTTCGTTATCAAACTTTCAATTCCTAATTTATTTTTCTAATAATTCATATTATCTAGAACCCTCTCACGAAGAAAGTGACGGATTTCTTTTCTTTCTATTGCTTACCTTCATCGGTAATCGGAAATCCTACGCACAAAACCATAAATGCTGTTTATCTATTCTATTATGCAGTCCAAGAATCTGACGAAAAAGCAATAAAAGGTAGATTGCAAGCATTGATCAAGGACGCATTGATATTGGCAAAATTGGTAGGTCAAATTAATGTACATGCGATAACTTTAGACTCCTTATTAAAAACGATTATTACTGTATACTTTATAGAAAAACGTCGATGTTTTTAATTGCCTTGATCTTATGGAAAACAAGTTGTTCATCGAGGATCTTAAATTCGGACCCGGCGATGGATACTTAAATTATTACATGTACAATTGGCGTTGTAAAGATATGGATAGTGGAAATGTTGGTGTTGTCATGTTATAATAATTTAAATAAATGTTATGGATTTGCGGAATATATAGGTATCTCCGCAGTCACACAAATTGTAAACTAAATTTTAATTTATTAAAAACTGACTGGTATGTTTAAAGATTATCATCGCTGAAGTATTCGCTTAATGTATCTACAACTTACTAAAAAAAGGACAATGATTTTGATACTGCTCGCTTATACTTAATGATGCTAATTGAAGCATAGCATCATCATATTTAGGATTTGTCGACATATATAAGATAAATCTTGAAATTCAGGAATGATAATGATAAGTTTTGAAATACTATAATACAGTGGTAGGATCTATAAATTTGGGTTATGACAAGCCGATAGTTCAACTTTATGCTCAAGTTTTTTAACGTTAAAACGGCAGTTAAGCCACAGATATCATGAGAACGAGTTAGATTTCAAAATAAGCCAATCACATGTTCTCAGAGTTATCATCAAATTCTTGGTCAGAATGCTGAAAATTTTGCTTATATAAAATTGGTAAAGTGGTTGGAGTTTTACGTCGATTGGCCAATCAATTTGTAAATTTTGCAAAGCATTTAAGGGTGCGGATTTGACAGTGTTGTTATTAGCTTTAAGTATAATACTTTTGTTTAGCCCTAGTTCTTAAGTTTATTTAGCCTTAGTCTTAAGTCTAAATGATTTAAATTTTTGATAGTTTTTATGTTTAAGTAACAAACTTGTCTTTAGAACTGATATATAAAAATCTCAAATATTATTAGTTATTAATATTAAAAATTATTTTTTTAAGAAAAAAAATTATAGTTTTAATTTATAAAAACCTTAAAAATAGGATGTAATATTTTAAAATTATATATAAACTTGATGGTATATTTTTTTTGTACAAAAATTTTTACTAATTAAATATTTCTTGAGCTTTTAAGTAAAGTTGTAAAGAAGGTACTTGTAATTCTAACAGTAGTAAAATTATTAAAATTGGTTTAAAACTTATTAATATATGAATTTTTAAAAATTAGTTATAAAAATTTACTATTAAAATTTTCTTATAGTTTTTAAAAAATTAGTTAATTAAAGTTGACCTTTTTGTGTAATTAGTAAAAATAGAGTATTTAAAGAAAATTCAAGATATATACAAATATAATTTTTTAAAATTAAATATCATAAAATTTTAATATAATAAACAATTTATTTAAATCTATATATTAATAAATTTTAATGAAGATTAATTAAAAAATAAAAACAAATTTTAATTTATTATATAAAAACCTATTATATTATTTAGATTTTATAAAAAATAATCTATATATAATTTACTCTTTAATTTAAAGATGTTATTTGTAATTTAATTATTTAAATTATTGTATCAATTTTTTTTTGCATTAAAGTTTTTGATTTTAAAAAGTGATTTTTATTTATATTTATAAAATATAAATGACTCTAAGGATTCTCTTACATAAAAATTTTAGCTAATTATATATATACTTTTGATGTTTAAGTAGTCTGCTTATATATTACTATGTAAACTTTATACTGGATCTCATACTTGCAAATCAATTACAAATCTTATTTATTTAAACTTTTTGTATATACAATCTAATTTGTATTATAAAAATATCTTTAAAGCATAGTTCCATTCAAGTTTTTAATTCTTATTGTATTCTTAAGACTACTTTATTTTTAACAGAAGACTTACTAAAGTTTACTATATCTTATATACAACTAGGCTAGTTTTATATAATATGCTATAACTATCTAACATTTGCAATTACAAAAGTAGAAGTGTGATGACCTAGTAAAGTAGTCAGGTTGTCAACCTTCCAAGTAGTAGATTAGATGTTCAAATTCTATTGATAGCAAAAATTTAAATAATCACCTATGTAATATTTATATTACAGTAATTGTTACTAATGATTAAATTAATATATCTATAATAATAGTTACATTAGCATGATTGGCAAATGATAAGTCATCTATGCAATGTTGGAGTTATACAAAGAAATGCAAACTAACAATTAGATAATGCAAACACTAAATAAGTCCTTGTAGTTATGTAAATCTATTAAAATTGAATAATAAAAAGTTTATTTAAAAAAACCCGAGTAGTAAAATAGTCAGATTTTTGACAGTACTATTATAAAGACTAGATTACTGAAAACAGATACCAAGGTCTTAGTAACTGAACAGACAAAAACCTCTAAGTTGGGAGTCTTGAAAGTATCACCAATCAAATCATCAGAATAAACTAAAGAAAAAGAATATTAGGTTGATTCAATATACTGATGAACTAATTGTAGTTCTATATAGGCTATTTGAATTAAAAATCTAATGAAATTTGGAGATATACTAAAATACTAAAGATATGCCATAAAGTAGATGCTGGGATCTGATGAATTTTATAAGAACATAGCAGTTTAATGATTAAGCTCTAACTACAAGTGTTGGTTCTGTTATAGTAATATTATAGTGATATTAAGTTAGCTATAAAAATAGGTACAAAAAGCTTAAGAGGTTTACTTTAAAGAAAATTAGTCCTAAGGCTAAAACAATGATTTGAGTATCTGAATATAACTTAGTAATGTTAATATAAATTGCAAGTTCAAAGAGTTTAAAGTGAAACATCCAAGCAGAAGTGTTAAGTATAGCAATTAGTAAGAAATTTTTAGATGAACTTCTTAAATAGGTAATATAAAAAAGTTATATATATAGCTAATTGTATACTTTTTTGTAGTAGTTCACTAAATTATATTATCAAAAAAGTTATTAATAAAAAGTTAAAAAACTAAAGAGATCATCTTAATACCAAAAAAAAAAAATTTACAAAGATTACTGATTTAATTACTATATTATACTATTTTACTCTTATAAAGTTTACTAAAAT